AAAAGGCAGGCCAAATACACACACTTGTCGAGACATCAGCTGAGGTAACACTCACCCGCTCATCCTTCTGGAAGGTGACCCTGCGTGGCTCGGTGCGTCCGCGGCTCAGCCTGTGCACCATCTTATCCTTGAGTAATGAGGTGTAACCCAGGTGCTCGTAGATGGGGTTTGTGGTCATTTTGGCGATGTACTCCGCCGCCTTGGTCTCAATGTACAGAGTGATCAGGGCGTCTGTCACCAGGTCATGGACCGACTCAAACCTCTTCTCTCCGACAAAGTGCTTCCCATCGTAGAACAGTCGGTAGTTGAGGGTCTGATGCCCGAACCTGTGAGAGATGGAGGGAAGTTCAATTTGGTGAGAATAAAAGGGAACAGTGTTACGATTCTGCCCTCGTTGGACTGCTGATGGCGATGACCTTTAGAAGTTTTAATCGTGCATACTGATATGTTGGTACCTCAAGGCCAAGGTGTGGGTCCCTGGCTGCCTTTGGCTCTCTCTGATTAGATACGCTCCTTCCACTCCAGCCAGCAGCTCGTCTGCATGTTCTCGAGAGATCATGCCATGAAATCTGCATGAAAAAAAAAGACTTGAAGTGATTATTGTTCTGCAGGAACCATATCTGATTTTTTCATCCCATTATGAACAGTAAAATCAGGTTGTTTTTTTTAAATCCACTCCAGGCCACTTTCAACCAGACCTGCAGAGGAAACACAGCCTGTGTTCTGTCAGTAGGATAGGGCAGATGATGTGATCCTACTGTTGGCATGTTCAACCTGCTCTCTACCAAGGAGGCAGGTGTTCTAGGTCTGGGTTTCGGCCTTAGTATCCAAGTTTGCTCAGAATGTGTACTGTATAGTACTTATCTTGTTTAAAAAGATTATTTATTTAAAAAAACATTTTTGTTTAGCGGACACTTTTTAACTCAGAAGGAGAAATTACTTTACATTTTTGTTTAGCGGACACTTTTTAAACACTGATATATTTGTAATTCTTTGTGTGAAAACAAAGTTGTTGTAATGTTGGACAGCATTTGTAATGATATTTTGAGCACATTAAGAGGCAAAAACATGGAGTACAAGGAAGTTAGTTGTTAAAACCAGTTGCAGTTAAAAGCAGTTGCCCCAGTGTGACCTTAGTGTACACTTTTAAACGACTGACCCATGCCAGCCAATCATAATGAAGATAAAATGTTTCCTTGGCTCTGTTGGAAAATAAAAGACCAAATACAGAGGGTACGTGACACTTACTCTCTGCCATAGTATTTGGGTCTGCTCTCCATCTGAAACACATAAGAAGAAAAACATTGGCCACAGCAGTAACACATGAAAGGCCAAGGAGAGAGAGGTGACCTGACACCCAGGGCAGAGCCTTCATCTTCGTCTCTGCCCTCAAGTCTATTCACCATAACCAAACCATAAATCCATGTCAAAGCGTTTAAGGATGAAACAGAGGCTCCACCATGACACACACAGCTGCAAACAAAGTATGTGTTAAAGTGTCAGAGCAGGGCATGTTCAGCATCTGCTGTACAAATCTTCAACAGACGATGGCAGCTGGACAGTTATTATTGTAGACATGATGTAACATCAAATTAAAATTGAAGCAAACACATACTGATAACAATGTAATTAATACTATCGCCCCCTGGTTTCTGTTGAGAGAGCGCTCTGAGTGAGTGGGCAGCTAATCTCACACAGCCAGGCGTCCACTTTAGGTCTGCTCATCAATGCGTGACAAGACAGAAAATGGGATGAGACATGCATCATGTCTGGCAGACAGTACAATAGGAGGCTGACAGTAAGTCTGAAGCCTGGGAAGTAATTATTCCGACAGCCTAAAATCCAGATACAGTAACTGAAGGGGATATTTTGTGCGTCCCACACTTTCCAAGGCCGTCTTGAATCTGCAGCCACATTTCCATATTTAGCCCTTGAATGGAGTTCTGCTTACTCCAAAGATTCCACCTGCTCATACTGGACGTGAAGAATTAATGTGTAAAATGTGTTCGTTCAGAGTGCTTATCAGATGGAAACCATGAAAACCTCCCTGGGGGAGAGAACAGAAGGTGGCAGCAAAAAACCTCCCTCTCTTGGTTTGTACTAAACTTGTCTTTTAGCATTAGCAAGCAATACCGTTAGCTAACTCAGCCCTTTAGCCTGTCATCACCTTGATATTCAAAGGGCTGGTTTTCAATTTTTCTCAGGACAGTGAAGGCATCAGTGAGAAAAGCTTTGATTTGAACAACCTAGCTTAGTTTGCTAACCAAAAACCGACCACAGACTTGAGCCTTTGTTTGAGTAACCTAGCTTAGCTTACTATCCAAAAATTGACTACGGACTCGTGTTAACGTTGCTAAATGCAGCCACACCTGTTGACAAATTACACAATATCACAATTTACTAGTGGAACACAAAGGCGTTGCAAGTAGAGCACTTAAAAAATTAAGTTTTAATGTTAACTGTCTGTTTCTGCTGGGCTAACTGGTTTAATCACGTCCACCTGTGTCCTGTGAGTCCCTGGTCATTAGTCTCACCCGTCTCACCTGCTGCCCTGGGTATATAAACCTCTCTGTCTCTCTCTCTCTCTGGTTCTGCTTGTTTGTTGCTGTGATTTCATGTCCTGTTCCCACCTCTCTGGTTCCTCGTGCTGCCTGCTGTTCCTGCCTGGCCTGTTTTACTGCAGTAATACTAGGTTATGTTGGATTTACTGCCTGTTTCAGGTAAGGGCTGTATTAATAATCTCCCTGCTGTAATGTTTAAATCTGTTACCTAGAGCAGTGGTTTCCAAAGTGTGTGTGTGTGTGTGTCGGTATGCCCTAGATACAGTAACTCAGCCCATCAACTTCCTCATCAAACAGGACTGTGACTAAATCAATACTAGATTCTGTGTAGTTTGTATGTTTTCGACTGAAATCAAACAGTTTCTGAGGTTTAGAACAGAACCATGACTAAATCAATACTAGATTCTGAGTTTTCGACTGAAATCAAGTAACAGTTTCTGAGGTTTAGAACAGAACCAACAACCCTCTTCTCTCGTTTGACTTTTTGGGGACGTGCCCTCCCCCCATCTGTCTGCTTCAATCCAACTGTCGTCTGGTTGAAGCCTGAATTAAAGGGTGGGTAAAACGTAGTCTAAAAAAAGTAAATATGAGCAGCAGATGGTTCACGCTGCCAATATCGTCTCCTGCTATTCAGTTCAGTTTCATTTTTATGACTTGATCAACTGAATTAATCGGAACCAGACTGGTTCTCATTGTTACATGATCGTAGTGGAGGTTCAGTCTTTTTTTTTTGACAGACGCAGAGCAGCAAACAGCTGAACAATGTGCTGGTTTGTTGACAGAACCAATCAATAGTAATAATCACTCGTCTGCTGACTGTGACTCTGCATGAGTACAGTACATCGTCTTCCATTTTTCTTCAGCTTGTGAACGTCAGTCTGGTTGCTGACGTCCATGTCATGCAGATGTATGAATGTACTCACCTCCTGAGGACACGTGACCCTCTTTGGCCTTGGTGCTTCCTGCTGTAGCTGGTACACTGTCAGGAAAACGTAGAGATGTTGCATAAAAACCTTTGACATCTGTTACGCACAGCGATTCTCTTCAGATTCAGACTGGAGATAATACAGTATAATCTCTGTTTTAATCCCACATGTGATGGACACACGGTTGTGAAGAGTGTCAGTGTAGAGAGACATGATGAGACGAAGCATCCAGTCATGTATTTACTCACTGTATGTCATTTCATGAACCTTCATTTGTGGCGGCAGGCTTTACTATCTGTACATTAACAGCTGTGAACAGGAGCGACATTTTAATGAAGATCTAGGATGAGAGGAAATGAATCTTCCACAACGAACAGATGGAGGTGTACGGAGCAGATCGAGGGAGAAAACAGATGGAGGTGTTTGGAGCAGATCCACGGAGAAAAACACCTCGTGTAAAATATTAAAGATGACAAATGACATTGGTTGAGCAGGGTGGCACAGTGGTGAGAACCCAACGCCCTCCAGGTTCGATTCAAACTCTTGACCCCACTGAGGAGTTCTGTGTCAAGAGGGCATTTGGCCTAAACGCCAAAAACAAACTATAACACTCTCTGCTGTGGTGGTGAACTGAAAATAAAAATACAAAAGTACGTTTGTTGGGTTAGAGCGCGTGGTCTTGTCGTACGGTTTTCAGCCTTTTAACCTTTGACCTAACATGAATGTGGGAGTGTTGTGTCAGGAAATGCAACAAAATGACTGCGTGTGCTACTGCAGTGCTGACCCCGTTATTAAGAATGCGTGGGATCCATTTAGTTAATTACAGATATTTGCTCACAAATGTTCCCACACCTACGAATAAATAACATGTTTGCAAGTTTATGTTTCCGTGTCTCCGCGGTGTTAATTAAATGTAGTGGAAGTAAATCAGTGAAGCAGAGAGAGACTGGAACCTATAACCCTAATCCCAGCAAACTCCTCAGTGGCCTCACAGAACCAGAACACAACAGTGAAAAGAAAAACATAAATATTCAACTGTAACATCCTACTGGATCTAATACTGTCCTAGTGCTGCTGGTACAGACTCCAGTGGTACAGCAGCTACAAGGAAGAGCCTAAGGTTGTTATTAACGTCATATCAGGTGAAATTGATTGGTGGACCCCATGTGGCCCGCAGACCAACAGTTGTTGAACTCAGTCAAGTCAGTCTACGTGTGTCTTTTATTCAGCAGGGTTCAAATCTGTGACACGACTTTGTCTCACTGTAATGTGACAGATGAATTCATTAATGTTTAACTGGTGTTTCCAGGACAGCGCTCTGTTACAGCCAACTAAATAAATAAAATCTCATAATCCTCAACGATCTGATAACGACGAAAACACAGAGACGAGCTCCTGGAAACAATGTGTCAGAACAGGGTTTCCCAACAGGTAGATCGCAATCGAGCCGCAGATCATGAATGTAGGGCAGGCAGAACAATTACAAAAATGAAACACTGGCCTACAAGCTAGACCAGTGGTTCTCAAAATGTGGATGGCAGGGACACAAACCTTTCTTGAGGGCCGAGGGGGAGAATCTCAGTATTGTCTTTATCAGTGTCATAGAGGGAGAATTACACTGGTTTGTAACGTCTCTGTTCAGTGGGAATACCAATTTGAAGTTTTGAAGCTGAACGCTGTGAACATGTTGTATGAGAACCACCGAAGCAGATTAAAACAGTGACTCAATTTGAAGTTTTGAAGCTGTGAACGTGTTGTATGAAAACCACCGAAGCAGATTAAAACAGTGACCATAAATGTATTGAATTGTACTGAATTTAAGGTTTGGTGCAGCTTATAAAATAAATATGAAGGAAATATATCACTATATATTTAAAAAAATATTTTCTACTGTATGTAAGTCTTGTGGAAAAATACAAAAAAAATCCCTTCAAATAAAAAAAAAAGAAATAGTTACTGTCACTGTCAGTGTCGTTTGGTAGATCTTTGAACACGACTGGAAACTGTAATATTTTGATTTATTTATTTTTAAGAATGACCCTTTAATTCTTAGTATCTACACTTCATACACTGTGAACTACATTTTTTATTTTATTGATTTTATTTTAATGACGGGTGAGAAATGGGAGAGGTTCTATGAACGTTTAAATAAATTAAATTGTACTGCAAATACATGGCGCGGTGAGCTGTATATTGTAAATACAATATATGTGATGAAGAAATACTGGTTAAATAAAATGTTATCACTGGATGAGCAGACACTGAAAATGCATCTCCCCTCTCACCAGAGTGGCCACGTCCTCCCCCATGACTGTGATGAGGCGGGTGTTCTGAGGACCTCATTTCAGCAGAACCTCTTCACAGGTAAAAATCTTATTTTCCTGGCTGATGAATAACCTATTTTACTGAGGGATCAGGAATCTGCTGCTTTGGTACACTGTGTCGTGTGGGCGAATGTGTTGGACCGTGTGAGTCCTCTCATAATTGTACTATACCCAACACAACAAACCCAGACTGTTCCAAGAAAGGACAAAACAGTTATTTATAGAAGGACAAAAACACAGCTGTTATTTAAAGACACACACGTTCAGAGCCAACGTCGGGTTCAAGCGTTTGAAATGAATGAATCACTCACAGTAGGACTTCCATATGGGCGGCTGGTAATCCTCAGGGTCTGTAAAAGACAAAAATAAAAAAGGAGGGTTTGGTTATAAACTCAGAGACTCATTACCAATCTCCGTTTCTGTCCCTCTCCCAGTAGAGTACAAGGCCTTCGCTGTTGTTGACTCTCTATTATAATTACGCTTCACGTCGCCCTGCAGCGCCTCTCGGAGTTGAGACACTGAATACATTTCTAATCACGCTCTCTGCCTCCAGGACGATCGATACAGATGTTCATTCATTTCACCAAATAAACAACACGGTGTCGGAACACACCTGATCCACATTATGGGATGTCAGGATGACATACTCTGAGGCCAGACTACAAATTCACCAATTAAAATTACGCAGAGGTAAAAGTTAATTTACAACTTTGCTCCCGTAGCCAGACCTTTTCTTTGTGAAATACAGCGACTGATTGATGACTGTGAGTACATCCACGGAATATGTAATGGAGTGTGCTGTTACAGTATATTAGCCAAAAGAATTGGTGAGGTGATGAAGAAGGTGTAATTTATCCTCACGGCACCTCAGTGGCCGTAATGACTTGTAATAAAAGCTGTCACTTAAATGAGTCAAAAATATGGCAGAATTTGCTGCTCTACCTGGGCTGTGATCAAGTATCTGGAAGTGAAGACGTTAAGAATAATGGTGCTGAGTCTCTCAGTTCACTGGATGTTTTTATCTGTTCAAAATGAAACTTTTTTTTCCCACTTTTGTTACGATTACTCTTAGTAATGAATTAATAATGCATACGTTTCCCTTTTAATCATTAAAAAATAGAAATTTAAATTATTAAAGAATATTATATAATAATAATCCATGGACTTTGTAGAACAAAAAATAAAACTAATACAATGCACAAATCAAATCAATATTAAGATGAGAAAAATGCTTGGAAATACAGAGAGACGGCCGAGACACAATATTCAACACAGAAACTGTATGTACATGTAGTTAAGGCAGCATATATATATTTATATATTTATTTATATATCTTGCATTGAAGGTGGAAAGAGAAACACATACACACATCTGCACACGCACACACATACATATATGTGTCTATATACATATACCTAAATATATAAATATACATAAGGAAATCCATATATACACATATATATGTATGTCACATATGTCTGTATACATGTACATAAATATATACACATATGTGTACACGTACACACATATGTGTCTGTAAACATATACATAAATATATAAATATACATAGATAAAAACATGTATAACATATATAAATATAAATGCATATATACAGTATTAGACATATACTACTTGTATTGGTGTCTTCAGACCACTTGCCGCTCCAGCTGTGCTCCAGTCTGTGTCTTGTGTTTTGCTGCTGCAGTGGAGTTTATTCAAGAAGATCAACCGTGTGCACAGTTTGGAGGTGTTTTAACATCAGGATCCATGCTTTTGTAGACACGACCCACCTTAGTTTACTTCTGATTAAGATGACTCAGATTCTGGCTTAACTTACTGGGAACGAGTGAAGGAAGCGACGCCTACGCCATCTTAGGGTAAATTCGGTTTGCAGTACACTGGAATCCCACAGTTTGTGTCGATGCATGTTACACTCTGTAACCTGAGTCACTGAGTAGAAGAGAAGAGTGGTTTTCTCACAGGTTTGATAGGAAATCAAACTCTGTGATTAGACTGATCCGAACATTGAAAGTTACATGACTTGGAAAATCGTTAGCATTGAGTTTCTTACTTCAAGTAGTTGTAACTGAGTTAGTCATAAGATAGATAGATAGAAATAAGCTAGCCAGTTAGCCAGCTAGCCTACAAAATAGATGGATAGATAGATAGATAGATAGATAGATAGATAGATAGATAGATAGATAGATAGATAGATTGATGCCTCATTAATCTCCAGGTAATTTGGAGACTCTGTTATTAACTCTGTTAGATGACATTGATCAGAGTAATCTACAAATATCACAGTGTGTAATAGAGCAGCCATGAAGTGAGTGCATCAAAACTTCATGATCTAATTGATCATCTATGTAAATTGGTGGTTAATTAAAGCCCTGTAGTCAGCAGCTTGATATCAGGTTTGTTGCTGCATTCTGAAGCACTCCAGTCTGCCAGCTCACTGATGATGGTCCGTATCACTCGCACTAACACTCAGGCTGATGATTCCTTTTTTCCTGTGACGATGATTATTGATTGAATTATCTCTGCGATCTTGACGACGTGGATTCAGAAGAATGTTGAATCATGTGGGCTCAGAGGAAACATGTAGATGCCTTTAAACATTCCACTGTTCCTCCACCTCAATCCACCACACCCCTGCTGCCAGAGGGAGAGAGCTCACAGACACCTGAGCTGAACGGGAATCGTACCTGGAAAACTAGTGAACACATGTTGACTGACGGCACTGAAACGCTGGTGGAATTGTGAAACCTCTTTGATATATTGCGTCAGTGAAAATCAAACACGGTCTTGTTCTATTTCCACCGTTTTATCTGATGGATCTGTAAGTGCAGGCGATAAGAGGATTAAGGCGATCAGACCGTTTCCTTCATGCTGTTTTCTACCAGCGGCTCATCATTGCCTCATGAGCTGAATTTAATGTTGTGGAGAGACGACAGAAAAGTGCATAAAATGAAAAATATGAATAATTATGCAAATGAGGGAAGAGCAGTTCAAATGGAAAGTGTTTTTACTATTTCACTCCAGCCCTGCACAGAATATCTACAGTACCATCAAATACACCCTAATAGCTCCAGGGCTGCATTTGCTGATGTGTGGCCCCGGGAAATGTATTGTCTTAATGCCGAAGCTTTGTCACCGTGCGTCGCAAAGGGCGGCGCTCTGGAAGATTTATTACACTGCGGCTTGTTTAAAGAAAGTGATTTCCTCTGGTTGTCTGCCAAATATTCTTTTTCAATCTGATTCTTTTTAATGATGAATGCGTCTTCAGTCTGGGGTTCTGCAGCAGCCCGCTGAAGCTGCCCACACGTACACAAACACACACTCCGGCTGAGCGCCGTATGAAACAAATACTCAATTACACACACGGCAATCCGAGGAAGATCAAAAAGAATTCCTAACGAGCGCCGGGTTTGTGCAGAGGAGGACGATGAATCTGCAGGCTGTAGGCGGCCCCCTCCTCACAAACACCCAGACATTCACTCTGCTGCCCTCCATTAACCAGTCAGAAGTGTTCAATGAAATAATAAGTGGTGGCTGTTGGCTTTAGAGAATACACCGTGAATGAAAACGAAGATTTTAACAGTCTTAGAGAGTGTTTGCTTCGGAAGTCTGTCCGGATAAAAAAATCAATTTAAGTGTGTGTTGAACTAAGTATCCTTGGTGGGAAGGGATTAGGTTCTCAGTGTATCACACAACCACACGGTCAGAGAAAGACCTGGATGAATGGTCCACAGCAATGGTAAATAGCAGCACTTTATACTTTCATTTTCAGACATGTTCATGTGTACAGCGATGTGTACATGGACAAAATATTGTTATATATGTGTTATGTTACATTTAAAAACTACAAAAACCTTTTTACAGCAAACGCTATATGGCCTTGGTGTGGTGTTTGTTGGCATCGTTAGCATTAGCTTAGCTGAGCTAGCCAATTAGCAGCTGATTAGGCAGGGTCAGAGCCTGGAGTGTGGATTACTGCTGCCTCTGTTCAAACCTCTGACCACACTCACTCGACGGCAGAGTAGGTTTTACCACAACCTGATATCGAGTACAGGTATCAAAGTTGGCGTTTGGAAACAGCTAGTCCTTGGTTTAGCCTCGAGGAACAAAAACAATTCTCATTCTGACTGTAAAAGCCTTCAGAGTAGTGTTTTATTCCAGGTTTACGAGGTGTTCTTTATTTTTATCACGGTGTGTGAACCTCCTCATCTACGCTGGATTCACAGTGAATTAGTTTTCCCTCAGAGTGAATGAGAGTGTGGTCTTTGTCAGCAGCCGCTGCTCTTTTTATTATCCATCTCATTCAGCAGACTGGAATGGAATTCTCTGCCATCCCTCCGTCCATCCATCTGCCATCCATCCATCCATCCATCCATCCCTCCATCCATCCATACTTCTGCTGGTATTTACCTGAAGGGGTCAACTGAGGACAACCAAATTGTTATTAATGTGCTACGCCACATCTACACCTCCAGGATGTTTTGTTTGATCGCCCCCCCCCACCTCCCTCCCCCCCTCGCTCCCCCTACAGCCGTTCCGCGGGCCGAGAGAGAGAGAAAAAAAAAAACTTAATTTCACAGTTCAGTGGAAGGCTTTTTACTCCAACTGCCATCAAAGCACCGACGTGACTGAAGTAATTTTACACACATTCGTCTCTCTGATCTGATCTCACCTGTTTAATGATGACAACGATGATATTAAAGCATGTTTTCAGGGACCTTCACTCTAGAACTTTCCCAGATTCCCATAAATATAAGGGACTAATACATTCCTGTACTTCAAAAGAATATGCCCTTTGTACACAATTGGTTTTATTGACCACTGTGTACAGTATATTTCTGAGTTTTCCTCAGAAAGATATTTTTCAGCCTGTGGGGCTGAAAAATATCAGCCCCACAGACCAAACCTAATGGACCCAAAGACAAATAGTTGGCCATGGAGCTGCCATTTCTTTTTAAATTCTAATTCATTTTTACTGTTTAAAAATGTACTAAATCACCGGAGCGTGGTGTTTACCTGCTCCGTTTCTTCTCCTGCTGGTTAAATACGCCAGTGTGCAAATGTAACTGACAGAAAAAACAACCAACACCGAGTGGTTTGTGTGCAGCAGAGCTGCAGCAGGGAGACCATCTGTGTATGAGTCTGGTCCAAAACAACCAGTACAACAGAGTCAGAGTGCTGACCAGATAATATCTGACAGGTACGAGTCGCCTCCGCGGACGCTGTTATCTGCCCAGCACTGCAGCACTGAGCACGCTCAGTGAAACTGCGTACCTGTCCGCTGACCACAAACTGTAACTGAGCTCCAGTGAGGAAACGTGTCGTTTGTGGGATTTGGACATTTCCTCATTTCATCTACAGCTTTTCTGTTGTAATTAATGATCGCAGTTCTTGTTTTTTTTTTTTTTTTTCATTACTCCAATGACTAACCTGCTCCCTGAGTGATGATGTAAAACACGCAGATTATTTTAGTAAGTCACTGCACGACACAAATGCTTTGCTGCATGATTTAAGGACAGGAGACTGGGCGTGAGGCGTGGCCTTTGCAGAAACGTGTTCAGGATCACGCTGAGCCGACAGCTTCTCTGTAATACACGGCTGTAATTTTTGTCTCTCCGACCAATTTTGTCATTTAGGGCCTGGAACAGGAGGCCAAATTTCATGCACCATTCCTCCATGTCTTTTCAAAGTTTTATTTCCTGGAGCCATTTAGTGAATGGTATGTTGCTGGGCTCCTGTGCCCAGCTGTGCCAAGAATGTGCTGAAGGAATCTCCCTCAGCTAGCCAGAAAATATATCTTCAATAAAGGGGAGATTCAGCAGTTGTATTTTATTCACTTTGTCCTTTAAAAACACGTCGGCCTAATCACCACTTTACCTGGAATATGTCTGAAATGTTTGTAATAGGTGAGTGTTGCAGCCAGCAATAGGAAATAGCTGGGGTTTAAATGTATTTGGTAGAAGTGAATGTAATATAAAAAATGTAAATAAAAAGATAAAAGTTTTCAAATTCAGAAATATCTGTTCGTTGAAGCTTTAAAGAAAAGTCCAAAAAGATAAGAGTAAAATATAAACAGTTCCAATCATTTAAAATAATTAGCTTTAAGACAGCTAGCTAACAACAAGCAACACAAGTACAGTAGACAGGTAGCTTTATATTAGCCAAAATAATGGTTGATGCTAAATCTAAGAGCATGTCAATAGTTAAAAATAGTTACAGTCACAGAGAGTCACAGAGATAAATTAACTTCTTATGGTTTAAGATAGCCACAAAACTGTTTAGAAAGTTTGTTACATTTTCATTTTTTAGAATCAGCAAAAAAAAAAACTTCATTTGAATTAAAAAAACTAAACCAGAGGCCAAAAATGTCTCAGCCAAAAAGTAAAATGCTTTTTTTTTAACGCTGACTGTCCTGAAGAGAGAGTAAACAGACAAAAACAGTAACTAAACTAAACAGAATCTGTGAGTTTGAAACCAGACCAGACAACCTAATATGGAGCGGCATGTGAATCTACAGTACCATTCAATTTTTTGAGTTAAGTTTTTTTTTTCCCTCAAAGACAAGATTATTCAAATGTTGCGTCTGACTGCCAGAGAGCTCTGCAGGAAAATAATAGCCTTGTGACAACCACTCCATCCCTGGCAGCAGCGCAGCTTGTAACCTCTGATAATTACATTGAGGGCCCAACAGTAATGACAACCCTCCAATGCCGCGGAGAGAAGACTTTCCTCTTAAAGCATCAGTGGTCACGCAGTAAACCCACTGCTCTCTGAAACGCACACATGAGATAATGCTTTGTGAAGCATGTGGTTACCACAGGCTATATCAGCTTGGAAAGGACCGGCCGACCCTCCCATTGGGCAGTACCTTGGGAAATGTGAGCCGGCTGCTGGCTGCTGCGGTGGGGATGCAGAGAATGAGGGGAAAAAAAACTGTAAACGTCTATATATATATATATAGATATCTATATATATATATTCTTATATATATTTATATAAATATGTATATATATATACTAACTGATATAAATAGTAAACTATATATTGTATGTCTCTAAAATGTATGTTTATATATGTATACATATATAAATATATTCTGTGTATATATGTACATATATGTATATATATATTTATACATTACCTTTATATGGTATACATTACACTATCACATTGTTGTAGCAGTGCATTCAGTGTATTAGTCAATTTGTGTTTATAGCGCCCCCTGCAGAAAGGGGGTGTTTAAATATATGCTTATCATTTTACCACAGTGCATGTGATGTACAACATACAACATACCTTTAGGTTAAATGGGTTTGTGATGAAAAAATTCATTTTTTCATGTGAGTAAAAGTCTCAGTGGAATTGATAAACACAAACCAGAGAGCTCTCCCTCTCTCTCTCTCTCTTACCCAGACCTCTTACCCACACACACCCACACACACACACACACACAAACATGCACACACACTCCACATAGCCATCATCCACTCCCCTGGCCTTCCGTGAGAGTGAAGGACCTGCAAAATGTCCTCATGACAACATTTAACTGTGTCCCCACATATACAGCTATACCAGAAAACACACACACACACACACACATTTGATTGTTGCAGTGAGGTCTGCATCACACAGGACTGTTATCATGGAATTTGGACTTTATACTCTGGCAAACATGAGCAACATGTTTGACCAGACAGAAACAAGCGTGGAGCTGCTCTCTCTCTCTCTCCCTCTCTCTCTCTCTCCCTCTCTCCCTCCCTCTCTCTCTCTCTCTCTCCTCCTGGCTCTGGGTGAACAGTTGCTAACCCACTTTCTTCTCTCACTCGCTGCAAACCAAACCCTGACATTTGAAACATTTTCACCAACACGGCAGCAGGTACTGATTACGAAGCTCCACGTCGTTATGTCCAAATTGGACCTGATTGAGGTCTCGTGTACATCGCGGCAGTAAAAACCTTTCTTACGTCACCAGACCACGGCATTATCCCAGTGTCGGAGTTCATCCCCGCAGGCTGCCGCGTTTTTGGAAAATAATAGAGTACACAGGCCAAAGATAATCCTTGAAGCCAGCCAAGAGCAAAGTCAATGAGGGGATTATGGAAATAATTGGTAATCTAATGATAACATCCAAACCCAACATCGTACAAGTCACATCTCGTGACCTCATAATTAGTCGACGCAAAAATGCAGCGTTTTTCCATCAAGGACTCTGAGACCTTAATCAGTTATTACAGATTAATGGAGACTGGGATTTAGTGACTGTAAAGCTGCTTGAACGTATTACTGGATTATTAGCTTTATGTCAGATAATAAAGATGATATTAGAAACGTCTCCTGTGTAACAATGTGGTCCATTTTAGGTTACATCCATGAAACACTCCGTCCTGAAACATTTCATTTTAAGAAATTTGAGCTGAGTTACATTTTTAAATGTGGAATTTTTTTAGGTTTACATCCAGTTTGTCTGGACCAAACACTGGATCTGCCTAATGTTTATAGAAAAGGTTTGCAAAAGCCGCGTGTCCCACACATTTACCTGAAGAAACGAACCTGTCAATGACAAATCCCACGACTGTGTGGAACATGATGGGAATTTTGTGATTATAATTCCATTTAGAGAGAAAATGATAGAAAAAGTAAGACATATCAAATACAAATCTGAAGCTTTTACAAACTGGATAACTTCCCAAACCAGCAGCATCACTTCATCTGTGGCTTCACTGGAAGCTGTTGGAGTCTCTGTCCAGTTCTAATGTACAGTCTATGGCTGCATCACCGACAGAAGTGGTCCAGACTATCTGGTACATGGCTACCCACCCACATATGATGGGCAATCCTCATGGGGCCCACATAGACCACTCTTCTAGACACACTTTTTCACCCCACATACTGTAAGAATGACCTGGGACACACGATTATAAAACTAAAATTACACCGATAAATACACGATTTTATTGTCGTAACATAACAGTTAATGTTATCGAGGACGGTTTCCCTGGGATGTAGGCTGTGAACTCTTACCAGAAGACACGGATGAACCTGACAGGCTGGAGTTACTGGACGCTGCCATCTCCACTCCACTTCCACGGTTCGGTTACTGCCGTTTGGCCAAGGCGCGCTCGCAGCAGCTGGTCGTCCCCGCCGGCCGTGTGGATCTCTCCATTTCACTCACGACCTCAGTAAGCTTCACCTCTGACGGCTGCAGCGGTAACTACTCCTTCTTCACGGCTCACTTCGGAGCCCTACAACCATCTCCTCCACGCACCCACTCACCCACCCACTGAGGCAGCGGACGGTCTGAATCCGCTGATCTGTCACTGTCCGTGCGCCTCCGTGTGCGGAGCTGCACTGTCGCTGCCGCAGACAGCGATCAGCGCACAACACAAATAATCCAACCAAGATGATCCTCCCGTGGACACTTCCACGCACTGTTTTGCTCAGGATTCCCGTGCCATGCAGGAGTCAGCGATGGTTTCCATGTGCCACTGTGGAGACTGGAATAAACACTACACTGCAGCCGAGACGCGCCTTCTTAAAGTGGAAGTTTGGAGCAGGACCGCCAGACTCGACAACAAAAAACCAAAACAATTCAAACAATCACAGACTTTGACTTGTTAGTCTTTAAGAACTCGCAGTAATATTATTTTTTGTTATCAAAAAATGAACCAAAGTGGTTTTTGTTCAGCTTTGGTCGTTTTTATAAGATGTTTTGTCAGGACAAGTTGTGCTGAATGAGACGGAATAGTATTGCGCGTGTTTTGCTCCATCTAGTGGACATCCTTTAAATCACATTTTTATAGTTTAGCTGTCCATTCATTTAGAGACAAGAGATTTTTTAGGGGGCAAAGGAAAAAGACATGATTTGGTTCCTGTCGTCCTAAACTGACAGGATAAGACGAGCGCCCCCTTTTCTGTGAATACTTCATGTCCCCTGCCTTCCAGCCTAGACCGGTGGCTGAGTTGGACCTGAGTTGGCGTGTCAGAGTAAGTGCTGAGGTGTGATAATCCTGCAGCACTGCAGTCTGGTAGTCTGAGATAGCTGTCAGTCTGTCAAACTGCTGCACATTATGACCGTCCTATTTTAAAATGCCATTAATACCAGTGAAATCCTTTCACAATCCACCGACCTTTGACCCTTACTTAAGCATAGGGCTGCATCAATTAATCAATTATGAATTGATTGTTGTGAGGTCACAGCCTTGAAGAAGGCCAAGTCAGTGTAATTAGATCCAGACCTTTAGCTGTCTGTGGGTTTTTTCTCTTGCTTCCAACTGTACGTACGTGATTTAAAAGTACAACCAGTACTACACCCTAAGACCCTAATCTATAGATATTATTTTTCTATTAAAACTGGCTGTATTTAGACAGTGGATATTTTATATGCCATAATTAAATTAATAATGACTAATAAAACAGCTTATGTGTGTCTTGCTTTTGTTTCCAATAATTTTAACAAAAGTCGTCTACTAACAAACTAGTTGACGTTTAATAGTTAAAAGATGATACATTTTCTTATTAAACGAGTTGTCCCATTGTTCCAAATATGTTTTCTTGTTGTTGTTTGTTAGACGATACATATCTTAGTGAGCATTCTGCTGACTGCACAACATGGCGCCCCATGGGGTGAATAAAAACACGAGTGTGTCTGTTGAGCACTGCAGAACTAGGGAGTGCAGAAGTTGCATTTGCATATGGTATTCCAGAATATATTTGTTCTATTCTGTAGTTTTTTAAATGCTGCATATAGCCTTTAAAATACACAAAAACGGAAAACAATACAGGACTGTGAGAAAACATATTCATGATATTTTACTTTCTATAATTTCTGGATTCATTTCTGAAAAATAAAAATGTACTTTAGCTCTTAATTAGCACATTTTGGCACCATTGTAAAGTGTTCTTAAATATCATATTGTCCCCACAATAGTCTATTACGACGTAATTTTTATAAAGTTGGACAGTTTATCTTTTTTAATTTATAATTTCACAACTTTTTGTTTATAATTTTTCGATTTTCCCCCCATCGTTGTTGTTTCCCTTTTTTCCTGTAAGACTTTACACGGGGATAATGTTTCCTTCACCCAAAAACACCACGTGACCCAGAGCGCCCCACGTGATCTGTGGAAAGCTGATCATGTGACTCAGTCATTCGCTCCTCTACAGTCCCCTGCGGTGAAAGACGAGAGTCAACATGAGGTGAGAATGGTTCCGTAAAATTAAAAACTCTATTAAAAATTTTATTTTGAATAATTGTATCTGCTGTTTATGTGGGTGAACTGCAGTTCTCCTTGTGGTGTCGCTGTTCTCAACAGTCCTGCGCGTTTTACTTTATTGAATGTACGAAGTTGTTGTTTTGACTGCAGACTGGTGCAGTACACCGTGGTTGTCCTCAGTCTCTGGGCCTGTGGCGTGAACTCCAGGAGCTGCTCAGCGTTTTTCTGCCGCAAACATCACCGTGTGAGCGGAGTGACAGGAGAAGACCCTGGTTCTCCTCTGTTCTTAACGCCGTACCTGGAGAAGGGACAAGTAGATGAAGGTAAGTGAAATGAGACATGAGGAAACCAGAGAAACAGCCAAGGCTGGAGTACGACGTGAATGAAGTATGACAGAAAGGTTTATAAAGTTTTTAAAAGTTTTTAAAATGTATATAATTTCAATAGGTGTTAGCTTTGAACAACGAACAAACTCCACAGCCAGGTCAAGTAGTATTATATACTCTAAACTAAAGGAAATACATTTTTCTTTTCAATAAGAGAGACTGATTTAATACTTACGAAAAATGTACTACCTTGTCACTTGTTATAGTCTGTAAATGCTCCACTCGGATCATGAGACTTGACTATAAAATACATCTATGTTGTCATGTGTCATCATGTGACCAAAAAGAGGTAAAGGTGTGCTCATAGTCTGTCTTTAAGTACTTATTCACTTTAAAATAATGAATTAAATATAAATCAGGAACCCCCAAGAAAAGAGATTTTAATAAAAAATGTTATTTAAAAATGTATTATTTTAAAAATAAAAACATCTCTCTGAGGAACATACAGGAGAAATTAAATTATAAATAAATGTTTTAAAATATTCCAGATGTATAATAATTAACAGTCCTAATATTCATGTTCTTCATGTTATTAATGATTTCACTGTTGAATCAGAACAGTTTAAAATAAAGTAGTTTTTCATATTCATAATATAAGACAGTTTGACTTCTGGGTTTTTTTGGCTTCTGTGGGGAGTGTTATGAAATCTGATCAGCATTTTATTCAAAAACACTTGACACTCTGTGTCTCCGCAGCAGTGACATGTCATCTTTTTCTCATCTTTCTAGCTCTTTCTCTTTCTGTTGTTAAACAGCAGGTAGACTGCTGGGCTTTAGCTCCGTCCTCAGGTTTCTCAAGGCCAAACGTTTCTTTTGGTCCTCCGTGATCTGTGGAAGACTTTCAACAGCAAACATCCTGTTGACATTCTGCATAGAACAAAAAAAACACTTCAAACCCTTCAGTGATCTGAGCGACTACTTCCTCTTTTTCTTAATGAAGTCAAAAAATAAATAAATACAGAGTTTGTTATAACAGGAAACAGATCAAAAATCCAGAAACATCTGTTCTCAGATCAGCTGTACAACTACAATAAATCTGTGAGGAAAATAACATTTAGCAAATCACCAGAAGGACATTATACAAACAGACAGAGACTCTGAGTGAAGGTTTGCCAGATGGAATATCAGTTTCAGATGAGTTCCAACTCTGAAAGAGAAACGTAATCATCTTTCAGTTAAACGTCAGAGAAGATAAACACGAGCATGGCAATTCTAATTATTTTAACATGGGACTAGAAATAAACTTACACACAAAGACATTATCATACACTGGGCTGCTGAGCAGACATGAAGCCAAATAAATGTCATTATACTAATGATTAATTTGTTAATATTTGTAAATAGGATTTCTCTCACTGCACTGAATTTCTTTCTCACATATTATTTTTATTTAACTGTGCAGTGTTCCACTAAATGCCCCTGTGGGGGTAATTTTTCTTAGTTATCGTATTAGCTTTTTTGCTAATTTTTAGCTTCTGAGCATCCGTTTTGTTGACTATTGGGTGATTTATTATTATTATTCTTTAGCTATTTGAATTAATTTTAACTACATATTTGTTAACTTTGAGTTTTTGCCTGACACTGCTGTGTAAATACAAAGATTAAACGATAATACAGACCATTTCACATTATTTATTTCGTGTGTGTCTGACTGTATGAATGTCCGTTATTTTCAGCCCGCAGACTCAGTCTCGTAGGTGAGCTGCCCGGTGCTAATGTGAAAAGCTACGCTGGCTACCTGACCGTCAACAAAAAATACAACAGCAACCTCTACTTCTGGTTCTTCCCTGCGCTTATGGTGAGTCTTGTTACTAACTTAAAGTTACCAGCAGGTGGCGCTGACGTCTAACTTACTTTTTTTGTCGCCGTTAGCCGAGACAGGACAAGGCTCCTGTCCTGCTATGGCTTCAGGGTGGACCAGGAGGAACGTCCATGTTTGGACTCTTCGTGGAGCACGGACCATACGTGGTTTATAAGAACATGACAGGTTCTAACAGCAGCATTTTTAAATGTGGAGTTGTGTTAAAATCCTGTGGAATCTTCTCCTGAGTTCTTGGTCTCTCGTGTCTTTGCAGTGGGTTTGAGGGACTTCGCCTGGACAAAGCAATATTCAGTATTGTACATTGATAATCCAGTGAGTGTTTTTTTTTCTACAAACAAACACGGTGTAACAGTGTGTGTAAGTGTTAACTGTATTGTATATTTGATAACATGAAGGTTGGGACCGGCTTTAGCTTCACCGATGACGACAGTGGGTTTGCTCAGAATCAGGATGATGTTGGCAGAGACCTGTACAGGTGAAAACACTGACCCTCACCGCTGACCTTCATCATTCTGCCACTTTGACCTCTGTGGTAGTTTAGTAGCATTAGTGTGTCATATTCACTTGTAACTTGAAAAAAAAGATATAGAGTAATAATAGAATCACAGTATGGCTGCTGTTTTACTTATTGATTTTCTTTTTTCTTTTTTTTTTTTTTAGTGCTTTAACCCAGTTCTTCCAGATCTTTCCTGAGTATCAGGCCAATGAGTTTTATGCAACAGGCGAAGTGAGATTTTCCACTTCTTTTTTTATTATTATTTTAAATGATCATTCATTCATTTTGTCCAGAGAACCAATCTGACGTCATCTAAAATCACATTTTTTCCTTCTGTCTCTGCACAGTCCTACGCTGGGAAGTACGTTCCTGCCATTTCTTACTACATCCATAAAAACAATCCCAGCGCGAAGGTGAAGATCAACTTTAAGGGGATGATGATTGGCGATGGCCTCTGTGACCCTGAAATGGTGTGTGTTCAGCACCGCGTCTTCGTCCTTTTCCGACGTCTCCATCATCAGTCGTTCACGGTGCGAGTTTGATGTCGTGTTTTTCCTGCAGATGCTTGGAGGTTACGGTGAGTTCTTGTACCAGACAGGGATGATCGACGAGCAGCAGAAGGAGTACGTGGTGAAACAGACCGACAAAGGTGTCGCCCTCATCCAGCAGCAGAAGTGGGTCGAGGCGTTTCAGGTAAAATGGCTGCTAATGTGTTAAAGTGTAAGTCGGTGATATCAGGTTTGACTGTTGAAGTCTTGACGTGACACGTCTTTGTGCAGGTGTTCGACAGTTTGCTGAACGGTGACGTGGATCCATATCCTTCCTTTTTTCAAAACGCCACAGGCTGCACCAACTACTTCAACTACATGACCTGTCAGGTACTTGGAGACCAGTAGTGATTGCTCTAAAGGGAGCTAAAATACAGTCCACTTCATCCACTCTCTCTGTGTGTCCACCCACAGGAGCCCGAGGACCAGGAGTACTTCTCCCAGTTTGTCACTCTGCCATCAGTGCGACGTGCCATTCACGTAGGGAACCTGACGTTCCACGATGGCTCAGAGGTGGAGAAACATCTGGTGCAGGACGTCATGAAGAGCATCAAGCCGTGGCTGGGAGTGTTGATGGACAACTACAGGGTGAGAGAGGCAGCAGGGGTTGTGGGAATTTGTATCAGATTATTTGGAGAAGTACGTCATTTTCTGTTTTAATTGTGATGACATCAGGACCAGCTCGGTTCTAGCCAGGAGGCCGATGAACTGGAACTGTTGGCTGAGATGTAACAGAGTCCTGAATCACTCTCTGATCCTGTGTCCAGGTCCTCATCTACAGCGGTCAGCTGGATGTCATTGTAGCTGCTCCACTGACGGAGAGGTTCCTGCCCACTGTGAACTGGACCGGAGCCGCCGAGTACAAAACGGCTCCCCGGTACCACTGGAAGGTCCAGCCGTCTGACACGGAGGTGTCAGGTTACGTCAGACAAGTGAAAGATTTCTACCAGGTCAGATGGTGGCGCTGTGATCACGGACCTACGACCAGGACGGGTCATGCTGACGCACACGTTGTTAACACGTTTCCTTTCGTCCCTCAGGTTATCATCCGGGGAGGCGGGCACATTCTACCGTACGACCAACCGGCGAGGTCCTTCGACATGATTGACAGATTCCTGTCGACCAGAGGCTGGATCTGAAATATTTTGGTATTTGAAATATCATTTTCTTCATCGGTGATTCTTGATTTGACACAAATATGACCAGCTTGGCTCCAGGTGACTTTATTTTCTACCTGTCAGAGGTCTACATTGGAAAAGTGGAATCCAATGGTACAAGGTTGCACTGATTGTCGGGGTTAAATTCTCTGTATATTTTGGTCATTTTTGAATAGAAATATTATTTTGGGACAGTTTCACAGACAGGATTTAAATGAAGCCTGAATTAGGATCAAATCTGTACCAGTAAGTATTTAAGTGTGTACCAGCTTAAATCTAAAAACAGAAGTAAGGAATCTGTTAGTTTGTGCCAGTTTATGCTTAACATCAGGTTAGTAACGTTAGACTAGAGTTAACTACATTTGTTATCGCTATAGAAGAAATAACAGCAAATTAAAATGAACCAACGCAATGTTAATGTTGCATGTTAATTGCTAACACACACAAAAAAACAATTTCCATACAGTATTGTGAAATATATGTATATAGAAGCAACATGAAAAGGATTTCAAATGTACAAACCTTTGACCACTGAAGTGACAGGCTGTAAAAACTAGACAGGAAGTTATTAAAGTTATCTACCAACCTTGTTTATGTATGAATAAAACAATGGTGTTTTTCTTAAATACGTCAATATTTTGTATTGAATTGTAATAAAATTCCTGCCTTGGGCCGGATTTAACCGGAGTTATTTCGACTCTTTTCTACACTTCTTCTAAGTCCTGTCTGTGAAACTGGTCCCAGTGTTGCTGTCGGTTAGTTAATATGTACAGAAAAACGAACAATTTAAAATTTAAATCGAATTAAAATTTTGTTTGTTTTTTTAAGTCCGACTGTGATAATGTTTTTAATATTCTTGTTTTTCTTACGTGCCGTAATTTTTGTCCGGTTGTTCCACAAAATACCCGCCAGAGGTCACTGTGCACTACAAATAATTAATCGCATGCTCCGAGCTGTGAAAACAACATTACACCACGACGGTGTTCAACTGCTCTGAAACTTTTCACTTTACAACCGCACGTTACGTCGGTGGAAACGTAGCTCCGCCGTGTTTACATTTCGGTTATATATCGAGGTTGAACTGACAGGCTTCAGGTCCTCAGGTCTTCTGGCATCTGCCACAAATATGGTTGTGTACTGAGGTCATCTTCATCAGGCAGCGATCACCCGGTCTAGACGAGTGAATATTTAATGAGTATTCAACCTTTAAAGCATCTAATTATTTAATGAGCAGTTATGTCTTGTTGACATGCATCAGGAAATTCTGCTGATGATTCACTTTGAACATTACTTCAGCCTTGTTGCTTCACCTGATCCAGAGTTCACAGTGAGGTCATCATGTTACAGAAAAAGTGCTTTATTTTCTTAGCTTAACGCAGTGTTTAGTGACGTCATCATGTTGGTGGTTGGCATGTTGGCATCAAGTGGTTTATTTTCTTAGCTTAACGCAATGTTTCTCTATTATTTTCTGACATGCCCCTCCCACTTCTACCCCCACAATGTTTTTACAAAATAGATTAACAATAGGAGTTGCTCTGCTGCCATCTAGTGACTGAAGGCTTGTTTATCGTTCAAACATGAATAAAGACAGTCCCCTCTCGTGCCCCTGTGACGGGGCCTGCCCCACTGTTTGAGAAGCACTGGCTGATAAGATTCAAAAGACAAAAATAAAAAAAAGACATATGGAGACATTGCGACGACAGATAAATCACTTCATTACATATAAACAATTTATTTAAGAGCTGACATGAGCCTCGACATACAACCGTAGGCAACAAGTGCTATGGAAACTGTATTTACACACATGTACCACACGTTTGCTCCCTTCAAAAAGAAAGGTGGTTGCATTACATGTACAGGATTACACAAGTCAGAGACAATATGTACAATATTTATAGGTCTAGGATTTCAAAATAAAAGTTAGAACACAATTAACGTGTGGTCAAATGTCCTCCCACTCGCACAGAAACCCACACACACTCACGCACACACACACACTGCAGGTCCAACTGTCTCCCTCGTCTGTCTGTACAGAAACACGTGTGTTTTCTTAACCTGGTCCCACCGTCAACACTCTGAGGTTTCATTCAGCGACGCCACCATCCATTCCAGTTGAACGATAATCTGTGGTCAAAACCGTGTTTCAACATGCAGGAGGAATGATTTAACAACTGTTAGAAGGCTTACAAAAACAACCAGGAGTAAGGCAGGCTTCAGGTTTTAAAGGGTTAATACAACAAAGCACTTTGTATTGACTTTCATCTGGCCTTTTTAAGTCAAAAAGTTCTACCTTAGGAATTCCCTAATTTTGGACTACAATAAAATCCAAACCAAGATGGCTTCTCTTTTCGTCAACTGACAGTTGCCTATTCCGTGGCAACTGTTAAAATATAGAAAAAATCACAACATTTTAAATAACCAGTTTGCATCAGTTCATAAACATATAGTTTTTTTTTTTAATTAAGCAAAAATTTGATTGCGGTAACATGAAATTTTACCCAAAAAAAAACACTACAAATGATATGAGCTGCCACTTCAAACAAGGAAGAACGTCTTATTTGTGTTGCTCTTCTGCAGCTTAATTAGGGAAAAAATGCTGAAAATTTGAAATAAAAATCACCTTGAATGTTCCCATTTGATTTTTCTTCCTCTAAATAGGATTTTAACTTTCTTGACCTCTGTTGATACACAAAGAAGAGAACTTCTGTTTTGCCACTGGAGGCGCTACGTCCACTTCTTGTACTAGCAACTGGTACAAACAGGACGGGAACAAAACAAAAAGAGCCAAGTTGCGGCACAAACTACGGTTGGTTTCATCAAATGTAACCGTGACGAACAAAACGAAGGCAGAGTTTCACTCCACACCCTTCACACTGGACATGGCTCTCATTAATATAATGTTACACATTTAACAGTAACAGCTCCTTTATCTGAGCTCCATCCTAAAATGCAAGCTTAACAGTCCATTCCTTCCATCTACAGACAGAGTTTGAAGTATGTCAGGCACAGAGCTCCTCGCTGGTGCGTGGAAAAAAACAAACAACAAACAGGATCACTGAGAATTACTTGGACCTTAATATATGGCTATTCTGGCCTCTGACAGGACAGAGGACAAAGTGCATAGATATCTCTATGACCCCCCGCATCCCCCCACCCCACCACCTCCACCTGTTTGTGGAATGCATTTCATCCACCCTACTGTAAAACAACACAGTGCATTTTGGTCATCATGCAAGTGAATCCACATTCCTGGTCATAGGGGAGAGGAAAGAGGAGAGGAGCTGCGGTCCACATGAGAAGGCGTTTGTTTTCAAGGCCAGAGGAAGACAGAAAAGGTCGAGCGGTATCCTTATCATCCGCACGTCCACCAACAGTCAGTAACGCAGGGGAGAAGCCTGAGAGAGAGTGGGGGGAGGGGGCTGATGTAGAGGTCAGGGGTCAAATGGAACATGAGTTGTTTTTCTGTCTTGATCAGCTGGTCCAGCTCTGCGGTAACATGCAGCGGTCACTTGTTAGAAAAAAGAATGATTAATGCGTTGATTGTATTAAGGAGAAGTGATTATATTAGATTATATTTTTCTGCTGCCAGTTTTTAGCCAAGAAAGAAAAAAAAAAAACGGTACAAAAACTTCAGGCACATCGTGACAGTTTTGCACAGGCATAAAAGCTACCTTTTAGAAACGCTAAAACGTTGCCAGATGTGAGACTCCAGTGAAAAAAAGAAGAAAAAAAAGAAGAAGGAAAATTCATGGTCATAGTGACTCTTCGCTCCCTGTTGTATCTCTTTCTCTGTACACACAC